GCAGATACTTGTTTGGATTATAATCCCTATGATTACATAATTGATCTTCAAGAAGGAAATCAATTGCTATTTTGACTAATCTATAGTTTATTAAAAAATAAATTGATTAAAATCAAGAAATATATTAAGAAAAATCATACAAAGAATTTCATATACCATCAAAAATTTCCAATAGAAGCTTATATTTTGTTTGTGAAGAAAAAAGATGGATTATTATGGATGTGTATGGATTATTGAAGAATAAACCAAATGATCATCAAAAATATGTATCTTCTAACTTTGATATTCAAAATTATTGATCAATTAAATCAAGCAAAAATTTATATAAAAAAAAATCTATAGAAAGCATATAATCTAGTATATACCAAAGAAGGAGATGAATTGAAGATTGCATTTCAAATCAAGTATGGACATTTTGAATATAATATCATACCTTTTGGACTCATAAATATATTCGTAGCTTTTTAGTATCTAATAAATAATATCTTTTGAGAGTTTTTAGATAGTTTTATTATTTGTTATATAGATAATATTTTAATCTATTCTAAAAATATAAAAAATATGAATTTCATGTTTATTTTGTATTACAAAAAGTAAAAGATATAAGAGCCTATACCAAGATAGAAAAGTGTGTATTTCATACTACTCAAGTTGACTTCTTAAGAAACATCATTTCAAATGATGGACTTATGATGGATCCTAAAAAAATTCAAACTATTATGAATTGAAAGATCTCAAAAATAATAAGAGATATTCAATAATTTTTGAGATTTGATAATTATTATTAGACCTTCATCAAGATTGTTTTTCAAATTTCAACTTCACTTATACATTTGACTTATAAAGACAAACTTAAGTGGAATCAAGAACCAAAAGAAATACTTAAAGCTTTGAAGTCAATTTTTATTTTTGTATTAATCTTCTATTATATTGACTTCTTTAATCTATTCTTTATAGAAATAGATGCTATGGACTTTACTTTAAATGCTATATTATTACAAATAAGAGCAGATAATAAACTTCTTCTAGTATCTTTTTATTTGAGAAATTTTTAAGTAATTCAATTCAACTACAAAATTTATAATAAAGAAATTTTTATAATTGTAAATTTATTTTTAAAATAGCATCATTATTTTAAAATCATTTTCAAGCCAAACACCATATATTCAGATCATAAGAAACTTAAATAATTCATGGAAACATATCCTTTGAATCATTGCCAAGTATATTGGATCATGTTTTTATCAAGATTTGATTTTAAGATGACTTATTGACTACAAAAACAACAAGGTTTGTTAGATATCTTTCTAAAAAATCTTATCTTATATACAAAGAAGGACACATACCTTTTGATTATTAAAAAATTATTATTTTAAAATTAAAACAATTTCAACTTTGAGCAATGAAATTAATATTAATTATTGATTCAATTTTTTAAAATAAATTATATCAAGTATATGCTTTGATCTTCTTATTTGTGATATTAATTTATTTTTTAAAAAATTTCATGATACTTTTAAGTTCAAATTTAAGAATAATCTATTCTATTTCAAAAGGCACTTATATGTTCCTAAAGATGAAGCACAATCACATATTCTTCAAACTTGACATAGCTTCCAATAATATGAAATTTTGGATATAACAAGACTTAGGAGCTAATATGTAGAGATTTATGGTGGCTTCAAATATAAAAGGTTGTTAAAGACTTTGTAAAATCATGTTATGTTTGTTCAAAATCAAAAACTCCTCATCATCAATCTAATGGACTTCTTTAGCTATTACCTATTCTAAAATAACTATGATCTTATGTATATATGGATTTATTATAGACATTCTAATTTCAAGTTCTTATGCTTTTATATTTATGATAGTAAATTATTTCATCTAGATATAGTATTATATATATATATATATATATATATATATAATAATTTAGCTTCTTATATATCATTAATCTTATGATCTGAGCTGCTATTATATGCACTGTCATTGCTGAGCCCACACTTTATAGCTAGCTTCATAAGTTATATTCTATTTCCTATTATTAATATCAAGCAATAGAATCATGCGACGAGTATATCAAATTTGTGGTCCGACATATTATCGAGGACTTATAATTAATCTTTACAATTGATCATGTGTGTGGATGATGCATAAGGTGAATTTTTACCTTCATTTGTTTGCTCAAGTTGTAGGATTGTCAATGCATCAAATACCATACATTCTTTTATCATTACTAGATCGGTCTAGGTCAAGATGGGTGTATCTTGATCTTAATTCACTTATAGGAGTAGATCTTCTTTATATACTATCTTTATTCTCTATACCATGCCTTTGAGATGCTCTTGCATTTTGCTAAATATGAATGCTACTATTGCTTGAGCATCTTGGAGCATAGTGTTGTGAACTTTTAGTTTTTTGACTTGCACTTAGATAACATTTTTTAGGGCCTTAAGAATATCCTATTTTTGTTGTGCTGTATGAATTTTGTCCCATAGTTCTTGTAACTAGTCCTTTGTGGTGGTATAATTATATTTAAATACCTCAAGTTTATCATATTGTTGGCAAATCATGCAATCTTCTTCTTTAAGTTGGGACTATAAGCTTTCTATCTTCTTCTTTAAGTGGGGCATTGTATGTGGATATTGATAGAACATTGCATTACTATGCCATATCTTGGTTCAACTACTTGTTGTGTAGTTGTAAAACCATCTTAAATTCATAATACTCATAAATCATATCTTGAGTATATTATTCATGACATTGTGACCTTGTGGTTGTTTCATTTGTAATTGCTACCAATGAGATAGTCAAGAATGGGCATAATACATAGGAGGACTTGTGCAATAGTACCACTAGTCAAATTAGTGGTTGGCTAGAGATCATATAATTTTTCAACTTAGTAGTAAACTATCTCTTATTTCTTTTTTGATCATTATATATATCAAGTCCAATCTTGCAAGGTCATGTTCCATGCTTCCCGGTAATCTTAAGAGTTTAAGCAACACATATCATTAGTCATTTAAAGAAGGTATTATAACTTATATTATTTAATCATAATAAAATCATTTATACAATAATCAAAATTTGAAATTTATTAAAAATCAATTAGAAAAATTTTATTCTTTTATTTAGTTTTTAATTTGAAAGACATTTGATTTAGTCCAACTTAATAAAATATGTCAAGTTTAAAAGAAGATTAGTTAGAATAAGATGGAATAACAACTTGATAACCATAGAATTTTTTAAATAAATGAAATAAATCATGAATATTTAAAAATATATTAGAGGTGAAAATAGGCATGACTATTGAATGAAAGCTAAGATTTTACCAAATGATTTTATCATTTATGAGATGATAAAATAGTTTCAAGTTTGTTGGTAAATTTGGTGGTTGGAACAATAATATCTATAAATATGTACATATATAAATAAAAACTATTTATCTTGCTCTTAAATTGGTTGTACCTAAGAGGTTTTAGGACATAAGTAGCCATGGTCTCATATAATGTTTTTTTAAAAATACTTATATAATCAAAGCATCAAATACATCCTATTTTATGTCAAATATATATATATATATATATATATATATCCACATTTTTAGTCCTTGCCCTAACTTTCTTTCTCCATCTTTTAAGTTAAGCAGGAGTCAAAAAAGCACAAGGTGGTGCCTTTTCAGATGCAGATTGGAGCCCAGATAGATTTCTGGACAATTTTTGACATCCTTTCCAATGGGTTCATCAATCTGGATCATCATGTTGGCTTCAATGTGGTAAAAGTTTTTGTTTTGTTGTGTGTATGTGTGTGTTTTATTTTTATTTTTTATTTTTTACTATCATTATTCTTTTTTATATAAAAGAATAAAGATGTGAAGAGCAGTTATTTGATGCCTAAAGTTTGGATACATCATTATTGTTATTATTATTATAGATCCACAGAAATTAGGGTGACAATGTGAGTACCAGATGACTTTTTGCCTGAGTTTCATTTTAATGGTGTCATGTGGTCCACAGCTCTGCTGCAAAAGCTATAAATGTATACTTGCACATTGAAGAGATTTGAGAAGGACTTTCTTTGTCACACAGAGTTATAATTATTATTTTCCTCCAAAATCAAAATTAGCAAAGCTTGCATTCCCTTCTGTTTTTAATGGACATATCTTGTATATGTGCAAGAGTGATATTTGTGGACACATGCTAAAGTGCCATGAATAAAAAACACAATCTCTCACTGTTTTGTGATTGTCACATAGTGCAACCATAGTAACAAGAAAATATTTCAACCAACTGCATCACATGGGGAGGGGAAAAATGATCCCCATGGTTCATAAGTATTTTGCACTGTTCTTATTTATTTATGTATTTTATTTATGTTTTGGCATGTGGGGGGGGGGGGTATGTGAATGGGCCACATTAATATTGGGAGTACAGATTAAAGTACAGTGTCAAACATGGGGGAGGGGCAGAGGAAGGAAGGACAATAATTTTACGAGAATATAACAAATGTGCTGGCCATACAGTACCATATCTATCTATCTATCTATCTATCTATCTAGCCTCATGACAAAACAAATGTCAACCTTTGAACACAACCTGGAATGCTATATAATAATAAAAACAATAGAAATTGTCACCATTAAAAAAGCATTATAAAACGAAGAAAATAGAAGAAAATAGAAGAAAATTAAGAACAAGAGCATCCGCTTGTGCATGACATTCCCTGTCTCTGCTGCTGACCTGGACTCCAATCCCCCACTCACATTCCAACACCTCTGCACGATACTGACCACACCGAACGAACCAACCAACGAATCCTTGGCATGTGCCGATTCCTGCTCGTTCCTTCGTTCGCTCGTTTCGATATCGTTCGTCCATTGAATGCTACGTCGACGTCGGGAGACTTCACATCCCCTTTTCTGCTCTGCCAAACGAACCTGGAATTGTCGTCATCGTCGACTGATGACTGTAGTCGTCGTCGTCTTCACACAGTGAGTGAGTGAGTGAGATGCTCTTCCTCCAAAGGGGAGGAGGAGCCCCCATTCCATTGCTCTCTGTTGCTGTTTCATGTTGTTGTTCGAGCTTATCTCTCTCGATATTTGCAATAATCCACTGATCGAAGGGACTGTTCGTAATGCTGTCGCATACAATCATTATAATAATTCGTCGTCGCCGTCGTCGTCATCGTCTCGGCTTTTGACTTCAGGCCACTGTTGCGGATTCCTGTCCCTTTGTGCGGCTTCGTGGGATTCCTGCCGCATTTTGTAAAATTGTATTCCAGTAGTCGCTTGTTGTCATGGGCGCCGAGTTCAGACTTGGTCCTCCTCATGGTAGTAGCGTTACTGTGGGGCCTCGTCCCCCGGAAGAGCATGTTAGCTGGGGTTAGAGAGCTAGGGCAGTGAGTGCCGATCATTTTTGCGTCACGCGTATCGATTTGCAAGGGCGAAGTGCACAAGGTATGTTTCGTTACTGTGTGATTTGGTCTGGAGGAAACAAAAGCAATTCATGGAGATGCGGTTTACCTTCTGTGATTATGCAGGAATTTGCCCATCTTGGAGATGGAATCAGTTAAGGTTTGCGAGTCTTAGTTGATATGTTCAAAATTGAGTTGAAGCTTGTGTTGAGGGCCGAAGTTTTGCTACAATTGCGAGGGTGAGATGTGGATATGTTCAGTGGTGGCTTTGTGAATCGTTGTTTATCTGAGTCGGGTGAGCTCTAGTTTGCGATCTATTGTGTCGACAGTGTATAGAAACTCAATATACGACAGTATAGAAACTCGATTCGTGTGTTGGAGTTGTGGTGGTCGTCAGGGTTTAATTGCACCATATTCGAGGGTGAGTCCGCTGTGAACTCAATGACATGAACCGAGATCTTCGACTTTCATGTTTGTTGAATTCATTGAGCATGGCGAAGGGATAGGTCGATGAAGTCTTAAAGGACATGTCCATCTCAAAGTAAATGTTGCAAGATTGAACGTTGTGCAACGTGATGTTGGTCATTGTGTTGGCGAATGCTCATTTTTCGTTTTGTTACAGTTTGGTTTTTGTGGTATAGTTCTGTGGAAGTGATGCAGACAGACTACACACATTTTAGGCCCATGCAGAAGCGTGATTTTAAGAGTTGCTTCAGTGGATTCGCGTGATGAAATGGCACTGTTTAAATAACTCGTGTTTCAATTACTTGCTGAGATTACATCCTTGAGGTATACCAATTACTATTTCTCGCCATTGTTGATGGGCACTCCGATGCTCTGAAATTCCTAGTTGTTCTTCTTCCTCCTATCGTTAACCCAGCCGAAGTATTCATAATTGGACAGGAGAATCGGTTTTAAATATCATACAAACAAAGTACATATGGGTTTGACAAACAGGAGACGTACCTACAGTTTTCCAATTATGCAATTCCGACCCAGTTTCATGTATCGCGTGCAAATTTAGGCGTGCAATTTGAAGAACCTGCGCTTATTGCAAGACAGATAACTACAGTGTACTTTTCAAAAAATGTATCCATCAGGACAATTGAATTTGTGCCCACTTTTACCTCCACAACCATGCAATGTTATAATCAACGGCATCACGACGTGTAGTTAATAATTCAAGTCGCAATTTTTGTCTTCTTCGCTGTCGATTATACACCAGGCACCTATTTTATGTTTGGCGGGTAAGAATGAAACTGTTGAACGGTGCGGGGGGCTGGTAGAGCTGGTGTTTGACGAGACTAAATTTTTGATTTGCTTACAATCTACCCATTCACGGCAGAGAGTGGTACATGAATGTCAAATTGTAAGTAGGCTGTCCTGAGTGTTGTTAGATTAAAAACGATCTTGGGTTGGATCATTGTCTTTCTAATATAGTTACCGCTCACCTCTATCGTTGTATGTAGAGGGATGGGAATTTATCTTTGCTCTCCAAAGACTGACAAGACATCCGAAGATGATGAGAATGCCGAGTTACGCTATGGTTTATCAGCCATGCAAGGGTGGCGCGATAGCATGGAGGATGCAGTAAGTACCTATTCAATTTTATGAGCAAATGCTTTGCAGAATTTTTTTTATTTTAATATCGGCCACTGCTTTGGATTTTTATCACGAGGCATTTATGCTACATTAAAATTGGTTGCTTTCACGGTCTTCTCGTACCGTGTTTGACAAACCTTCTGGTTTTGCCTCATTGTCTCCTTCAGCACTAGTCATAATGTTGTACGATTATTAATGCTGGTCACTCTCCACTGTTAAGGCTTAGTTGTCATTTCTGTTGTGGTAAAATATTACTTAAGGCGTTTAGAGCAAAGAGTGTCATGCGTAAATAGGTTGGGTCGCCGTGGATGATGCCCGTTTACGATATAAGAGTTGACTATGTGAATCTACATGCAGATTTTCAATAACTGTATCTTTGTCTCAAAGGTGCTTCTACCTTTTTGTCTCAAGTTTTGATAATCAATGTCATCAATAAATGCTTCCCATCAAAGAAATCCAGTAACCCTCCAATCGGTAGATGATGAAGTTAGTACTGGCCAGGTGGGACATGTCAAAAAGATCTTATCATTGTGTCTCTGCTTTTGTTTGCAGCACAAAGCTATCTTAAACGTTGATAAGAACACGTCAACATCAATATTTGGCATCTTTGATGGTCACGGAGGTGCGAAACGGGGACCGATGTTTACTTAGCAGTAGGTGTAGAACATGTAAATTTAGCAGGGTATCCTAAGGCAGACTTCGCATTTCCTATAAATCTGGGGTTTAGGCATACCGTCGGATCTTTTGTGAGGTCATTCCATTTAGAGCACAATTCCTGCTGTTTTGGTGGCAGTGGTCTTCTGCTACTTGGTATTTTCCTTCACTTCATCACTTGCTCTTATTTTGGGTGTATTCAACGAAGTTGCGCACCTTCATTGATTGCCCCAAAATCCTGAAAAAGCATTCATCTCTTTGCAGGTAAATTGGTGGCAAAATTTTGTGCAAAGCACTTACACCAAGAGGTTCTGAAGTCTGAAGCGTACGCTAAAGGTGACTTAAAAGCAAGTTTGGAATATTCCTTTTTACGGTGAATACTTTCCCCTCCTTTGTTCTGTATTCTTATCCTCCTTTTTCAGGTATGTGCTCCAAACAATTGTTTGTGAAGCAATTTTCCTCACAGAGCCAATCATTGTAATTCAATCATGCCGGGTCTTGTGTAATCGTGTGGAATATGTTGCAGGAGATCTAATCACAACCCGTTTCTTGTATGGCCAGGATGGATGAGATGATGAAGGGAGCAAGTGGGTGGAAAGAGCTTCAAAGTTTGGAGGAAACAAGTAGTCAGCTTGATAAACTCGGTAATGGAAATAGCTCCTCTAATGCGAGGGAGGATGACGAAAGTGATTATTCCTATGCTGTGCTAACTGAAAGCAATGATAGTAACTTGGCCACTAAAAAGGTGTGAGTTTCCGGACCGTTGAATCCTAATCTGTGTTCGAATTCGAGTTTAGTACCGAATTTCATTAGCTTGGGCAATATGGTTAGTGAAATGTGAATAATTTGTTGGTCCCACTTCCGTAACACTTTTTCTTTTTTTTCTTTTTTTTCTTTTTTTTTTCTTTTTTTTTCTTTTTTTTCTTTTTTTTTTAAATCTCGAAGAAAAGTTACTATTTTATTAACAGCACCAGTCTCAACTCGATAATGCTGTTTACCCATCAAATCGTGTTTGTGCAATTTAGTGGGTATACTTAATCGTGAAGATTATGAACAGAAGTTTTATTGTTGGGAGTCGTAGTACCTTTGCATTACTTGGTATAATTCATTTTGTATATATCTTGAGTTGGGACGTGGTTCTTTGTACATGTATTCTCCGGTTTTGTAACGTCTACGGGTGGATTTCTCACGAAGTTTGGTGGTTGATGTAGCATAAATATTCAGATTTCCAGGGTCCCATTTATGGGAGTACTGCAGTGGTGGCTCTGATTCGTGGCAATAAACTGTTCGTCGCAAACGCTGGAGACTCTCGCTGCATAATGTCTCGACGTGGCGAGGTTGTCATTATCCCCACCTTGAATTGTGCTAAGAATTGTGTGGAAGGTGAAGGTTTAAATTCAGAAAAAAATACGGGTTTTATCACAGATCACATTTATCTGATAGCGCTTTTTATGTGCCTAGTCCTACCTACGACTTTCAAATTTTATTTGAAGTCGTCTGATGATATCAGCAATGTCTCATGCTTGTGTAGTATGTGGAATCACAATCTAGGTCTTTCACTCGTTTGCAAACTGTACATTTACCCGTTCAAAAGTTCATATATAAGTTGCATTTCCCCGGTTACTGGGCATCTCTAACTTAACACGAACCTTCTGTTGTATGTTTTAACCACACAGGCTGTAAATCTCTCGATTGATCACAAACCCAACCTAGAGCATGAGAGGAAAAGGATAGAGAGTGCTGGAGGCTTCGTCCATGGTGGTCGTGTTAACGGTAGTCTAAATCTTACAAGAGCAATAGGTATAACTTTTGAACCATGGGAAAGGTTGTGTTTTTGCTATACTCAAGATGTCCTGCTCATTATAGTTCTGGCCTTGAAGCCATTTGGTTTCTCTTTTGAATCTAAATACTATTTCTTCTTGAAAATTAATAATTCGCATTTGCAGGGGACATGGAATTCAAGGGTCGACCTGATTTGCCACCTGACAAGCAAGTAGTGACGTGCTGTCCCGATGTTGTCGAAGTGAGTTCCATCCTGTCTTGCAGCCGGAATTCATCCATCACCAACCAACTTCTTTTTACTGTCTCCATTTATGTCTTGGATACAATATGCATTTTAAATCGGTTAATTGTGTGCGCCCATATTCATACACAGCTAATGTATTTTCTTTGGTTATCACAGGTTGACCTTGGACCCGGGGATGAATTTATCGTGCTGGCCTGTGATGGAATATGGTATGAACTAGATTTGTGTTATCTGTATATATTATAGAGTGATTGACTCGTACTCCCCAATGCTCATCCTGACAGGGAGGGTACCGATCTGGGTGGAATTAGTTTATGTGACGTAGTTTGTTGCACTTCATAGGTTTATCTAGCAAGGTCTCGATGAAGAGCTCTATTGGTTTCTCGATAAATATCATTTCAAGTATACAGAGTGAATGTGTGCCCAGCATTGACATGAAAAATCTGACCAGGGTATAAACTCATCGGTGATGGATTTGTGCGCAGGGATGTTATGTCTAGTCAAGCTGTCGTGGACTTCGTTAAATCAAGATTACCTACCGTATGCGCTCCCACCATTGTAACCATCATTTTATCACAAGTGTGTTTATCTGAGTTGCCTAACTGCCATGTTTCTTGCATCATCCTAAATGTGTTCGTTTAAAAGCTTTGTGTTTCCTTTCTTTATTAAGCCTACGTAGATGTTTTTCTTTCATTAATCTTACACACCGATGCGAGTGTACTGCTAACTTGATTGTATTCTTGTGTTTACTTGAGCTAGACCAAAACTCTATCATCTTTGTGTGAGGAGATACTGGATTACTGCTTGTCCCCAACCACCCGCCAGCAAGAAGGATGTGATAACATGAGCATCATTATAGTCCAACCAAAGCAATCGGGAGTTGCAGCATCTTCTTCCACAGATTGACGTTGATGACCTTCGTCGGACGCTGGAGCTCAAAACTCATTGTGGACTTCAACTTCTGAGTTCAAAGTTCCTTGTAGACTTCTTGTCATGTCCAACTTCTACCTAATTTCGAATTTCAAAAGACTTAAATATAAACCTAGATATAGGCTGATCATAAAATTTCGGGTCAAAGGCGTTATGGTCTTCTATTCAAATATAAGGTGAATTAATGCTAAAACTGGGAGTTGCCTTCTGCCTTCGATAAAAGTTGGCAACATAAATATGTAATCTGTGAGCGAGGTAGGAGCTATTCCTTTATCTAACCCTTAAACTTTGTTCGATTCTCAAGATCTTTCATTATCATATTACCAACGTCAAGTTCAATCTTCAATTAGTCATTGTGTTTTCAAAATTGGAACTCTTCAATTGAATGATGGATTCATTGGACTTTCTCAAAAGCCATTAGAACCTAATTCAAAATTTGAAATTATTAACAGAACAGAGAATGTGCCAAATGAGGAAAGGTCAGATTTATATTTGATTTACTTGGTTGTTTATTTTTCTCTCCAGTGCATTGTACTAATAAATGATGGATGATTGCTAGATTACTTCAAAGTTTGAAAATTGAACTTTAAAATCTTTTTATATCAGTTAATTTTTTGGTTTTAAAGTAATAACATTTTTTTATAAAGTGTGCATTTATAGTTTCCAATAAGGCTCATGCTACAAGTACATTCCAAATTGTTATACGCCCACTTGTCATGTCTATATTGACACCCAATGTTTTTGATTGGCTAATCTAAATCCTTTTTATTTTGTCTCAGCATGGGTCCTAGACCTCCTCCCTCTTCCTTGTTCTAACACAAGTCCTAGTCTCCTCCTTTCCTCTTCTTTGTCATGTAGGTCTCAATTCTCTTCCTTGTCCTAGCATGGGTCCAGTTCCTATCCTCCGCTTCTTCCTTGTTCCAATGCAAGTCCTAGATCTCCTCTCCTTCTTCCTTGTCTTGGTATAGGTCCTAAACCTCTTCCCTCTCTCTGTTCCTCCATTGTGGATTCCAGTGTCTTCTTCTTTTTTTCTCTTGACCTAGAGGAAATACTTGTGTTAGGACAAATCAGAGAGAGGATGTCCGAGATCCATATTGGAATTAAAAAAAAAAAAAAAGAAGGTCTAGATTCACCAATTAGGTGTATATAAACATAATGGGTGTATGTATAGCAATTTGGGGTGTGTTTGTAGCTTAAGCCTTCTAATATATATATATATATATATATATCTATATATCTTGTTGATTTTTAATTTGCACAAAGATCTTAAATGTTATATTATATTATTTTATCATATTTTTTGTATATTTTGTTAACATATATCAATAAATTTTACATTATTACTAGATCATATTGTATATAATATTTGTACAATTTTCTTAATATTAAGTATGATAATATCAATAATATTTTGGAGATAATACCAAAATTTTATGCATTAAAAAATGTTCATGTTTTTACAAATTAAGGGCTAAGACTTTAAACCAATAATTCTTTTATAATATTTAATATATATGCATTTTTTAAAATCAAAAATATATATAAAGATTAAAAATTCAAATAAAAAAATTGCCATAAATAATATTGTACCGATAGATTTTAAAATCTAAAATTATTTTGAACATTTAAACAAAAATAAAATTTTGTAATAGCTAACATGTTTTTTATTTTATTTATTGAAACATTATATATCTAAAAAATATTTAAAAGAAGAATTAAAAATTTAGAATTTCTTTTTGAAGATTTTTTTAGTTTTTGAGTTAGAGCCTCTTTTTGCTTAGGATATTCACAACTTGTGATTGATTTTATTGTAGCTACAATATTCACAACTTGTGATTGATTGAGGTTAAAAATTCTCTCTTGGTTGATTTCATTATAAGAAAAATCAACTTAGAAGCAATGAGAAGAGATGATGATTTTTTATTTTTTTATTTTATTTTTATTTTTTTTACATAGCATGAATAATATGGTCCCTTAGAATTTGTGATAAAACTATCTTAAGAAACAATTTTTACAAAATTTTGAGAAATTGAGTAAGCATTAACAACACATTATATATATATATATCATAATTTAAAAAATTAAAGTATAAGTTTTTGTATATGGAATAATAATTTATAAAATATTAATTTTATTCAAATCATTTCTTCTTTTCAATTTGTATTATCTCCAAATATCAAGGTTTCCAAAGAAAAACATTTTTTCACCAACTAAAGAACTTTTTATTACTTTTGGACTATGACTAGTCAAAATAAGCTTTTAATTATAAAACACCTCCTTATGATTATCAAATATGTAGTAATTTTTATAAATTATATTATTAAATAAAAATTATTAAAATGTAAAAGAAATCATATTTTATTCTAAATTCTTACATAAAATTTAGAATCATATCAAAATAAGAAAATATAAAAGTTACAAATCCTAATTGAATATACATTCTATATAGCATTATTTTTGTTAATTAATATTATATGTTACAATAAAAATTATTAATAATAAAGGTTTGTAATCATCAAAGGTTGCACGTTGAAAGAAAAATAGGAATTATTGTTGCTAGGGTCCTACAATTTCGGTTACTTGCTTTTATTTTAATAGTTACATGGCCCTTTTTTTTGTCCAATCATGTATAGCCATGTAGCCATGCTTGCTATGTCGCCTTGCCTCTCCCACTCATGTATAGCCATGTGGCCCTATTAGCCACTTGACTTTTATTGATTACCTCTATTAGTCAATAAAAATCAATTAAATATTAAAAATGAAAGATTATTAATTATATATAACAAATAAGAAATTTGTGCTCAAAATTTTAATTAGTTATTAGAGATTGTTAATTTTGGGAGATCATTTAATAAGAAAAATACTATAGATAGATAGATAGATAGATAGATAGATAGATAGATAGATAGAAAGAAAGAAAGAAAGAAAGAGAGCGAGAAAGTTTTAATTTATAATCATTTTTATTAAAATCCAATAAAATGAAAGCATTATGATTTTTATTATTATTATTATTATTATTATTTTAAAATCTTACATAAATTTTGAGATAAAAATTATATAAACATTACAAGTTTGAAAATGATTTTTTAAGTATGGTTATATTAATATTTTACAAATCTAATAGATTATCAAATAATATAAAATTTTATTAAATCATTCTTGAACTTTTAATAATTTCTTAGAAGCTTTAAAATCAATACATGTCACTCAAACTTATAAAATACATGTGAAAAATTTATTCAAATATAAACACTATGCCTTTAAACAAAAAAAAAAAAAAAAAAAAAAAAAAAAAAATTCTATCAAGCTAAAATATGCCATAATCAACATTACATTACTTCTAATTATATTTTAAAAGAACTAATTTATTTAATTTATGAAACTCTAATACATGTATACTAAATAAATATTCTTTAATGTGTATTTTTTAATTTTTAAATGTGAGCTATTGTTTAAGTATAGTAAAAAAATATCTAAAATGAATCAGATTATCTTAACAATTGTCTTCTAAATTCCTTACAAACCATATTTGTATAATTGAGTTTTAAAATAACAACACATAATTATATAGCCAAAATTTATACAAAATTTGATAAGCATTATGATCAAGATTTTATTCTATCTACACAAAAATATGTATGTATATACATATATAAATATTTAGTCTATAAATTTTAGTATTATATGTTTTTGGATTTCAACATATTAAATCTAACTAAAAATACATATCTATGTACCAAATACTTGACAATGTATATTTTAGTTTAAGAAAATAATAAAGAATGCGTTTATTTTTATTTTTATTGATAGTTGTGCAAACCTCAATTAATAACCTAAACTCTAACACAAATGCATCTCAACTACTAACATATATATTAAATAAAGATAATCTACTTAATCTACTATGTTTTTTTACTTTATGATTTTTTCCATAATCAATAATGAAAACACTTGGCTCTGCTTCACAGCAATACCTGGTCATTAATATGGTAGATTTTACGTTGTATCTGACACTTTCATAAGCTCCTCATTCCCACTTACCAGGTCGGAGACCCTGATAGTTCCTGCTACAAAACGCTTGCGACGATGTGTGGGAATAGCAATGAGAACCACAGACAATCCATCTTCACACAACAAAACATCAACCTCACTAATAAGAGCATAACGGCCGCTTCAGAGAAGACTCTGTTGAAATCAGCAAAATAGGAAATACGATAAGCATCAAATCGTCCAAATGCAAAGCGTCCAAAGCAAAAAAGAGTACTTCTAATTGTAAGTGACCTTAGCTGCAATCCTGGTGATTGTACATCAAAATGACAAATCAACCAAATACATAGTTGTTAGTCACCAGATTCAAAACTAACGTCGAAGGGCAAGGCGCGCGTCCCTATTGTCTGAACACTACAAAGAAGCTATGAGCCAGTCTACTTCCTCGGATGTAGACGGCCTCTTTTCCCTGGGAAAGAGCTAAGTTCTAATGCTGCCACCCTAAGATATTAATTCAAGTGGGTCACAAATACAGAACAAATTTGGTTCAAATTCTTAGCGATGGCACATTTGATGCAATACTTCTGGTCAACATCAATTGGTGTCTAAGGTATCCGTTCAGCTCACCTCAACTGAAGCTTTTGAGAAACCAAATCAAACCAGACGATTGTCTCAAAGGTCATCCTTCCTAGCACCAAAAGGTGTGCAGACGTCATGATTTCTAACAGAGGATTGTGTGCAGGTCAATGTATTATGCGATTATAATCACAAAATCTGGTTGCACATAAAGTAAATTAAGGAAACCCCAAGCCCTATTTCAGAAGATAACTAAGTGAGGACTCCATTCAAGGGCCAAGTCTGAATCCCACGCATCCAGAGCGCTCTTCCTGTGACGGTACCATCGAAGGGCATTGGTGAGGTGCTGCATAATAAATTTCTATAGCATCTAATATTTACACATGATCACATACAGTTTGCTAGAATGTACACAAACTGCATGTGTGTACGATGTCGATCCAATGAACGCCAAGTTAAATAATTTGTGTCGTCATTGTCACTAAACCGACTCTGTTCTGTTTCTGTTGCCGTGTACGATGTTGAATTTGCAGAGAGGACAAGTAGCGTTGATGCGGAGCCATTTGATGATACAAGTACTGTGGAAGTGATGAGAACATGGAAGATCGCGCAACTCCACGCCATCCTCGTACGATGAAAGACATATGCAACATTCTGCATCGTCTTCAAACAATGAGCGTTCCGTCAAGTTCTCGGAAGCACCGACAAATGTCATCACGCCTGCGAGCGCCCTCTCATAGTTTGCTGTTATTTTCCCGTCGCTGCTGATTTTTCGAAACTTCGCTGTAGGTAAATTGTTAATATCTTCTTCAGAAGCGCCTTCTTGATCTGCCACTGCATATAGAATGGCAATGATGCAGGGAAGGCAGCAGCAAACTGCTATGCCAATGACACATGCTAGTGCCACACAAAAGACGACGAAGAATACGTCGAATGTCAGAAATAATACACATAGCCAGTAGACATAAGGAGCATCAACTGCAAGCGACTGTCCCCCTGCGGTAATCCAATAGAAGCCGACAACCCACCATACGAATGAAAACATCGTGTTTGCAGATTCCAGACGCTTAGCCCAGCTTGCTTCGTTGGACAACCCATCATCGTCAAACCCTGAATCCACATCGTTTTCTCCGTTGTTGATAGGAGCATAGGTCGAATTTGACGAAGACACTGAAGAAGGATTCGCGTTCACCTGCTGTTGCCGACGAAGATATTCACAACAAACACATAGCATGTGCACGACGCACTGGAGCGCGTAGCCTATAATCCATATCCGCAACTCGTTGCAATTTGTTTCCTTCTTGCTCAACACTAACACTGCCAATGACACCTGAACGAAGGCCAAATTCCAAATCAGATCCAGTACAACCACGGGTTTCGAATACGCCCAGTCGCTCTGCCGAACCTCTAGCTGCTCCGCAGCTGACTCGCGCACCAACATCGACGGCTCCCGCATCAACCGCCGGCTCCCTGCCCGTCGCAGAAACCGTGCCGCGCCCTGCACCCTGCTCCTGTTACCCCGCTGGGACCCTCCCTCGCTCCCACTCCCACTGCTTGAACTCCCATTCCCATTCTGAATCAACGGAACTGCGATGTCGGACTCCGTCGTCGACGACGAAAACGAAACCCTATTCCTGTCCATTTTCCTACCCCTCCTCCTCCTCGTTTCCCACGATTCCGTGCCCTTCACCTCCTCGCGATCGCAACAATCCTCGCTAATTCTCTCTTATCCCCACTCCCAAAGAAAAATCACCATATTCTTTCCATCTCATCCACCATTCCCCACATACCTGACGAATCCCCAAACCCTAGCACGTACTCCGTTGCAGAACAACAACCAGCACTTCGGAAACTTTCCATCAAACAACCCTCTCTCACCTCTTGTGCAGCAGCAAGCACGCCGCTCCACGCCGCGCCACAAATGGTGTTGTCTCCTCAAAATCCCGACACGCTGCCCAGTCCATCTCCTGACATGAAGGATAGAGGTTCAAGCTCAAATCACTGGGGCATTCATTCCCCGAAAACCTACTCCCCCCATTCACTCACTCGTGAGTCCCAAGGCTGCAGGGAAGGGAGCACGGGAGCATGCACCACGATCCCAGCGCGGGAGGGACGGGCGGGATAGTCCACGTCACAGGGGTATAGTAATGACGTGGCACTCGCGGGAAGCGGAATGGGGGAGGGGGGACTGCCAGCTTGGATTGGGTTGGATTGATTGATTGATTGTCTGTCTGTTATGGGATGGATGGATCATGGGATCTAAGCTTGGAGACAAACATACAAACATCAGAAATCTCTTATTCTTCTTGTTCTTCTTCTTCAAGGAGAACTTCTTTCTTCTTCTTTTTTATTTTTATTATTATCATCGTTATTACTATTATTATCACCACCATATGTATTTTATTCTTGTTAATAACTAATTATTGTTATTGTCACAACCACATGTATTTTATTCTTGTTCATAACTAATGGTGATTGGATATAAATTTGAGTAGAACAATGGAAGTATCAACCTAAGAGAATTGATGGATGGGGAGTTCTTAGAAAAATAGAATACTAATAATATAGCATTACTATGACATCCGCTATATGATATAACTGGTATAATGTGAAGGAGGAAAATAAAGTATAATTAGTAGAGACACTTAATTGAAGCCTATTGAATTGCACAATGCAAACTCTAATCTTTTCATAGTTTCTAAACATATAACTTGTTGAATGTATTTATATATATTAGCAAAATCAATTTTCTTTTGTTAAATTAATTAGCTCATTTAGTTTATTTATTTTTACAATACTTTTATATTTTAGATGATTATTTATTTTTTTATAATAATTTAATAAAAAATTATAAATAACTTTAAATTTAATTATAAATATTTTTATATCTTCATATTGACTTTTCTTTTTATTTATCAAAGTTATTTATTTTTTTATTAATTGATATTTATCCTTTATTATGGATTTATAATTTTATTTGCTTCTAACATTCTATATTTCTAATGATGTAGCATCTTTTGAATTAAAATATTGAAGTAAATTATTTATTATTTATTAAATTAGAACTTTAAAGCTTTGAATAATCATAATATTGAATTTGAATTCTAATAAATTCAAAATTTTAATTTCAAACCACAAGTACTTATATAATACAATTGTCCAAGAATTAGACATTTTTATTCGAATTTCCATAATTTTCTTCTTATATCCCAAGTAAACCATCTTTAAAAATTTGCTTTGTTTGTTTCAAAATATTTTATTAGCATTGCTTTTTGCAACCAGATCAAATTCAAAAATTAGCCTATGATCTTGTTTATAATGAATACCACAATATGTTAATCAAACAAGTGTACTTATAGCTACATGACAAATAGAGATCCATCATGTATTTTCAAGCTTTCAAGATGTTATATTGCTTCAAATGTGAAGACATATCCTGCATTAAGGAACCTCTTGATTTTGTCATTCTCTACAATAGCAATCGTTCAATTGTGATCTTTGTAAATGTACTTAAATAAATATGTTTTACATAGATTAAAAAATATAATTCAATATTAATATGGATATTAAATTTTGTAGTCAAGTATAAATTGTAATGAATAATCTATTGATTATTTTTATACATATATATATATATATATATATATATATATATATATTTATCTAAAAAAATAATATTAGATAGAAGATATATATAGATAGATTTGATAATATCTTATGAATAAGCTTCTTAGAAGCTTGATAGGTACAAATTTGACTTTAGATGTGTTTATAGTTGATTGGCATATTAAAAACTTAGTCAACAAATTAGCCAATCATTACATGTGTTAGTAGTTTGTCGTATAAGCTAATTATGTGGCGCCTATATAAAAAACTTATCTTATAAATTGGATACATGTTGGAGATCCTACAAAATATTGCTATATAGCTCTAAATTAGATAGTATATATGGAAGCAAGAGTGAAGTCTTTTTCACTCTTGTCAACACCTTTCTTGTTCTTAGTCTTATTTCAAGAGACTCTAGTTTTATTGTCTTTAGTAATAGCTATTCTAATTTAATATTATATCATCTTTGAGTAATTATCCATTCTTTTTTAGTGACACTAAAGCATATTGATCTTTTGGTTTTTTAAAATTTATATCTTTGATAGTTTGACAAAAATGCTAATTCATTGTTATTATATTGTTTTAGAAGTGAGTGGATTATTTTACTTCTATTATTACATTTTAAAGGTTGTAAATTGTCTACCTTTAAAATAACATTTAAAATTTTTAATACTAATTTTTTTCTTTAAAAAAAATAAATTATCTTCTTTTGTAGAAATTTTCATTTGATATTAGAAATTACACATTATTTTCTTTTAATTTGACTTGTAGATTTGTTTGAATTATCTATAGAAAAAAAATTATAGATGCCATCCTTGACAGAAGTAAGAATAAGTTTGCAACTATTGTAAATCTTCATAAGCTTGCAAACACTTTTAGAATAGAAATTTTACATATTTTTAATATCAATTATAGAGGTACTATTCCTATGCATATGGATGAAGTCAATAATAAGTTTTAAAGTCTACAACAAAAAGTTGTGGAATTGAGAGAAGCAAGTAAATCAAATTCATGATTGAATCCAAGAATTCTTACTACTATAAGTATAAGGGAAGGAAAAATAAGTGTATTAGAGAAATTTGATGGAATAAGATCAAAGTTTCAAGGATTCTTGTAATAAATAAAGTTTTATCTAAGATTTCATTCAATCCAATATTTTGATGGATTTGCTCAAGTTGGATTTATAAGTGCAATTTTATCTAGGAATGCTCTCTCTTGATTTATACCTTTGGTGGAAAATAATTTAAAACTATTCTATGATCTGAATTCATTCTTAGAAGTATTTATGGCCACATTTAGAGAAATTGATCAAAAAATGGTAGTAAAGAATAAAATCCTATTTTTACAAAAAAGATCACATTTAGCTATTGTATATACTAAAAAATTCTAAAATCTTATTTGCAAAGTGAATTGAAATAACAAAATATTTATCAATCAATTTTGATATAGATTGAAAGATAATGTCAAAGATTTATTATTGACAATGCCAAAAGCAAACTCATTGAAAAAATATATTGCTTAAGTCTATATATATAACAATCAACTCATTGAAAGATATCAAGAATAAAAATTTGATTGAAGAAGTACATGTCAAGTCATATCAACAACTTCTAAGTTTTTAGAAGCTAATTCATTAAGGCTAGAATTTATGCAAATTGATATGATATGTGTCAAACTTCTTAGTAAGTAAGAAAATAATTAATGTTGTTAAAAAGGTTTGTGCTAATATAATAGAGAACCTAAGAACATTGGTCAACATTGTCTAAAGAAGTAACATAACTACAAAAAGAAGAATATGGTTGCCAAAAAGAACAATATATTGCAAAATGAGTTTTTATAGTTGCAATAAGAACTATGTAACAAGAATCTTATATAACACCTAGTAAAGGTCGTATTTTTTTCTTAGATCCTTCACCTTATTTTATAATACAAGTTTGATTAGGATCAAAAAATTACAAAGTCTTTTCCTTGTTAGATTCAAGAGCCTTAACTTATTTTATAGAAAAAGATTTTGTTAAAAAAGAATAATAAATCTATACATATAAAAGTCATAGATAATTGTTTATTATATTTAAAAAAGGTTCTTCATGAAAATATTCTTTTAAATATAATAATTAAAGATTATAATACTATAGTAATATTTAATGTGATTAGATCTTCTTTCAATCTAATTATTTTAGAATTATTATAACTAAAGAAGTATAATCTTTAAATAGACTAAATTTCTTATAATCTTAATTTTTTTGTAGTTTAATTTAAAATTTTGTTAATTAAGTAAAAATTCTTAAATCTAATATAACCAAATTTTTATTAATAGATGCAAGAACTTTCATGCTTGTTGCAAAAAAAAAATCACCTTTTATTATATATACAACATCCATTTCTAATAGTAAAAAGTCTTCAAGTAGCATTTCAAATGAATATCAAGATTATTAAGATTTTTTTAAGAAAAAGAATGCAAATATTCTTCCAAAGCATCATACCTATGATTGTTCAATTGATCTTCAAGAAAGAGCTCAATCATCATTTATACCAATCTATAGCTTATTGCAAAAAAAATTGACTACATTTAAGGAGTACATTGACAAAAATTTTGACTAAGAACTTCATATACCATTCTAAATTTCTAATAGGAGATCCTATCTTATTTGTGAAGAAAAAAACAGATCTTTGCAAGTATATATAGACTACCAAGAATTCAATAAGATCACCATTAAGAATAGATATCTTTTACCTTTAATTTTAGGACTTTTTAATCAACTCAATTAAGCAAAGATTCATACAAAAATAAATCTAAAAAGAATATATAATCAAGTCTATATCAAAAAAAGAGATAAATGGAAGACTATATTTTAAAGTAGATATGAGTATTTTGAATATAATAGTATTTTTTTTGGACTCACAAATATGCTAGATGTATTTCAACTTCTAATGAATGATTTTTTTTGTGAATTTTTTAATGATTCTAGCATTTATTATTTAGATCTTTTAATCTACTTTAGGAATATAAAAGAACATCAACTTCATATCTGTCATGTGTTATAGAAACTTAAAGATACAAGATTATATGCCAAAATAACAAATCATATATTTTACATTATTTAAGTTGACTTCTTCAAATACATCATTTCAAATGATGGCTTTATTATGGATCTTAAGAAGGTCCAAGCTATCATAAATTGGAAGATTTAAGAATAATAAGAGATATGCAATGTTTTTTTTTTTTAATTAATTATTATCAAATTTTTATTTAAAAAAAATTCAAATTATAGCTCTACTTACTCATTTGACTTATAAAGACAAACTTGAGTGGAATAAAGAAGTTGTAGCATTGTTTGAAGCTTTAAAGATAACATATGTTTTGCATCAATCTTGTATTATATAAACTTCTCTAAGTTATTTTTTTATAAAAATAGATGTATTAGACTTCTTTTAGATATAATATTATCAAAAATAGAAGAAAATGACAAATTCT